CTCCGGTGACACCAACTGTTACTGCTTGCCCACCTCCAACTCCTGAAGCCCGGCGATTGAGGCCATAGGTGCAAAATGTGCCAAATCAACATCCCCGCCCGGAATTTTCGGCCACAGTTGGCATTGAGAAGCAACGATTTGAACCGTCTATGCACCCAAACGCTGATGCCTGTGTCCCCGTCTGGTGACCTCGAACTTGACCTCAGCTATCTGAGGTGTTAGGTAGGATCGGCACAACCCGGACGTACCCAGTTGGCCGGCAATCGATCAATACACATCAGTTGTCACACATGCGGTCAAGTAGTAAAGCAACCTGCAAGGGGTATGACCTCATGAGCAGCAGGAATAACGGCCCTGATGAGGGCATGCACCCGGACAGAGGACAAAGACACAACCACCTAACCTGACCTTTGCTTACATAACTGGATGGGATTCGCCATGAATGACCCCACCTAACTGGTTATTAGATTGTGATTGTTGAGAGGACACGTAGGAGGCCAAAAGGGATTTGAAAAAAGTCAGATGCCATGGGTGAACGTCTGAAGAGTACCGGATAAGTCACAAAACGTCTTCGACAGTCCATAACCACACCGATTACGGTAGATTCTTGTCGGGATATTACAGTAAGATCTAGTGGTGCTTCGCATCCTGCGCCCCATTAAGAATACTCGCAAAAATTCAATTTTCTCGAAAAACGGTACGTGAAGTTGTAGGTAACGGGTGGGAACCTCCAGCACAATTCTACAAAAGCCCTCTGGAAGGGGCCACTGGTGAATCCCTTCAAATCGAGCGTAAGGATTAACTCTATTCATTTCAAAAACTCCAAATAAACCATATACCCATAGAAAAAGCAAGACCTAACCTATTTTTAAGTAAATTCCAATTAATTTGGCGAAATATGAAATTTTTTGACGAATCCCCGATGAATTAGGTCTTATCAGTGAGAGAAAAAAGGAAAATTCCACCAATCACTCATTGCAATGTCAAGGAATGATAAGGTCAATAAATAATATGAAATCAATAAAGTATTCAACTAAAATACAATTTATTAATAAGTAAAACAGAATAGTAAGTAATCAATAAGTATTGAATGAATAGACTTACAGCTCTTGAAAGAAATGTGGATTAGTTGGTTGTAAGATGTCCAATAGAGAAAGGACCTGAAATATTGACGCTTTTCTTCTGATTTTTAAGACTACAAAGAAGAAAAAAAGTACATTTGTAAAGAAATTTGTAAATAATAAATGATGCTTATAAAGGAAAAAATGTAGAAATGTGCTGAAAATCCAGTTCCCACACTGGTTGACTTTTCTTCAAACTTTTGAAAAATTTTTGAAAAGTTTCCGAAAGTTCGAATTATTTTGTAAAAAAAATATACTGCGAAAATGTGTAGATAGAAAAGTTTCAGCAAAAATTTGGAAAAAAAACTTCGGTTAAAGAGCATTCGAAGCTTTTGTATTCTTGGGGAAAAAAGTGATGAGGTGTTGTTGGCCATTCCCCGCGGTTGTAACCATTAAACTCAGTTTTTCCAAAATAACTTTATACAACTAATCATTACTTTATTTTAATGTCTTGACTATTGGAAAGCTGCTCTATGGAATTACTCTTTAGCCCAAAATGCAGTAATTAACGTATAAAAATATACTGAGAACTTTACAGTACTCTACAGTATCCATGTGTCTTCCCGCTCCCCTTTTCGACTGTTTTTTGTGTAAGGAAATTTTCTGGATTTTCTCACAAGGTTGGCGATTTGTGGGCAAAACTCCAGTTTCGGACGGGACTCGAACCCGTACTTGTCCTTTTACGAAGGAATCAATAAATAATAAACAAACAAAAAGGCAATTTTCCAATAAGTAAAGGTAAAGATAATTACCTTAAAGGCGTGAAGCCACTCACATTATCGTGCTTAAAGGATGAAAGCATGCGAATTTCGCGAAAAACCCGTTTACAAGAGGCCAGATTCTGAAAGACGTTGGGCATTTTCTTTAGTGCTACGCGTTTTCCGCTTCGTGGATCCGTTACCGACCTGAAAACACGTAGTGAAATTACCGTATTTTTTTCGATTACCGTAATACCGTCATCACATCATTATCTGAACGAGTTTCTCAAACAATTCCCCAATAGCCATCGCTGTCACCATCGGTTTACGCTACAAAGCCCCGGCATCAAGTGTCTATGTATATCGCGAAATCGGCTAGTATGATCAGTCTTATGGTGGGAGAAAACGGGTTGTTCATGGTCGTGTGCAATTCGACTGATCGATATATTGATTAGTAGCGACCGAAAAATCACTAAACTCAAGATCACCATCACCAAGAAAATGCCTTCCGTTCAAGCCAACCTAGCCTTTAAGCCCTCCAGATCGGCTAGTTGGCGTCAGACTTGTCTGTGAGGGCAAAAGGACCAGCCGACTTACTGGGCCCTGCGGACCATTTTCGTCCTCGTGGGCCTACAAATACCATCACGACTCTGAACTGAGGTGGAACGTGGGGAGACCATTTCAGAATGGAATTGAATAACGGGACTTCCTTTTTTCCCTCTGAACTCCTAGAGAATCCCTTCAGACCCTCTGATATCTCTAAGCGCCCGTACAGCCAAAGAAAACTCTGCAGCCGCTACCGTAGTGTGGTCAGTCCAGTTTTGGACGAGTTCTTGGAGCCCGGCAAATCATCTGATCATAGATAAGAACTAGCGAACATGCAAAAAGAACAAAAGGCAACATTATCGGGAGATTTTGGGGTACGATTTCACGGAAAACCAGTAAGCTTACCACACAACACCAAAGGCACCATAACCGATAGGTCGATCCGGTTGGGCATCTTGTACCGGTGCCGGGTAGAACGGCTGTGTAGCGGCCAATATCGCATTTGAGACATGCGCTGCCTAAAAAATTCTTTTTTTTTCTCACGATCGTAATCAAATTACCGTAACTTCTCAATTAGTTTTTCTCCTATCCAATTTATTTTTCTTCTACAGTAAGCTGACGCTAGTCCCAGTGGCCCAGTAAAACACATATAAAGACATTGTAAAAATAAAATTTTTTCTGCAAAAAAGTATAAACGGGCGACAATCGCCTGAATTTCAGGGAAACTGACCAGAATTCGTTTCAGATACTCAATGATGCCTTCAGCCAATGCCAATAATAACGACATTGAGGCCAAGTCATCAGAATAGCATCAAATTCAATTCGGAGACACGA